AGCCCACGAAAGTGCTGCCAGTTTCGCAGATCGCATCCCTCCAGGACTTCGCGAGCCATAGTGGTGATCTGCGTATGACGTACCTCCGCTGGGCCTCCCAGGAGCCCACGATAGTGCCGACAGTTGCGCAGATCGCAGCCACCCAGGGCACCGCGAGCCATAGTGGTGATCTGCGTATGACGCACCTCCGCTGGGCCTCCCAGGAGCCCACGAAAGTGCCGGCAGTTTCGCAGATCGCAGCCCGACGCGGCACGACAGAAGAGGAGAAGGGAACACAGGAAACAGAAGAGAAGGACCAGGGGAGGAGAGGGGAGGAGGAAGGAGAAATGAGGACGGGGTGACCACGCTGCTCTATTCAAAACGAGTGCCCAACACACGAGGGTTGGGACAACAAAGGTGACGGAGCGCACGCGCGCGCGTCGTCGCGCGCGCATGCCAGAATCCATCAAAAGCCGACGTCTTCGTAGCGATGTCAAAAACCGAGTGTCCAAAACACATGCAACAGCACATGGCTTCGCGACGTCAGTTTTCGAAAATGCACGCGCTCGCGCCCTTGCGAACTATTAAGACAACAGAAATTGTATTCCAGCATTTTCATGGGGTTCTGCCAAGCGGGCCTCTGGCGCCGCATGCCGAAATCATTCGCGCGCCTTTGCGCGCGTGCTGGGGGGGCACGCTCCGTGTCAAATAGTACCACGCCGGCCGCTCTCGCGCGTCGGCCCTGTGCGCGTGTCGAACTCGTCTCAAAACCTTCATCGCCGACGCGAGGGCGCCGTCATCGTCGTCGGCGTGATCAGCATCGGCGGCCGCGCTGGCCGCGCCGTCGTCGTTGCCAGCCAGCATCCTCGCCAGCATGGCTACTATCATCATCGTGTCTACCGTCGTAGACGTTGCCATCGTGCCGCGCCCGCTCAGGTCGCCGACTCGCACTGAAGTGCTCGCTAGGATGCGTCCAGCGGTCAACGCCACCGCGGCCGCGTCGGTCGCGCCAAACCAGATGGCCGCTGCTCGCGCGTGTTTTGGTTGGCGCGGCCGCAGAGATGCACCAGCCAGCGCCGAGCGCTCATCGCAATCGCCGCCGCGTGGGTTTTGCAAACCAAATTGCGGGTGGGTGGGTGGGGTGTTTGCAAGAGCAGAGAAAGTGTCAAGTGATTTGTAAAAACCATTTCTCCTTTCTTGAAAACTAGATTTGTACCCCCGTACATCTAAACTACGAACTCATGCCATCCCAGGGGGCGATACCCCGTCATCCTCTGCACATAATACTACGCGCGCGCATTCGTAGATCAAACATCATAGGCTTCCAAGAACCTCTTGCAACACATGGAACGAAGTGCTCGCGCGCTCGTTTTCGCGCGCGTGCCGAAATCGTTCTAACATTTTCGGTTTCGCAAGGATGTCAAAGTCGAGTGCGCCCAATCAGATGACACATGCGTTGTCGCACAGCGGATTTCCCCAAAAAGCTGGCGCGTTCTCTTGCGAACTCTTAAGCCAACCGTGGGTTTTCAACATTTTTAATACAATGCTACCTAACGGACTTCGCGCGCGCGCATCTCGAAATCGTTCGAACGCGTTGCCCTCGTGCTGGGGTGGCACGATCCGTATCAAAGAGTACCATGCGGGCCACTCTCGCGCGTCTGCCGCGCGCGCATTCCTTCCGACACCTTTTACCACCGACGCGGCGACGCCGTCATCGTCGTCGGCGTGGTCAGCGTCGGTGCCGTCACTGGCTTTCCCGTCGTCGTTACCAGTCAGCATCCTCGCCAGCATAACTACTATCATCATCGTGTCTACCGTCGTCGACGTTGCCATGATCCCGCGCCCGCCCAAGTCGCCGACTCGCATTGAAGTGCCCGCTAGGATGTGCGGAGCGATCAACGCCAACGCGGCTGCGGCGGTCGCGCCGAAGTCGCTTGCCGCTGCGCGCGCGAGCATGCGCGGGCTAGCGCGACCGTAGACATGCACCAGCCAACGCCAAACACTCATCTCAGTCGCCGCCGCATGGGTTTTGCAAACCAAGTTGCGGGTGGGTGGGTGGGTCGGCAAATGAGTTGCACCACGTACGTTGCACCATATAGATGGCGCAGTCCGTATATCGGATTTTGGGGGGTGAATCCGACGTGAAACGGAGATCCCACCTACCGGGAAATCGATTTCAGTTTCGGGTTCGTGTCGTGCGTGCCGTGCGCGCGTGCGGGCGAGGCGAAGTTGCTTGGGTCGGGCGAGAGGAAATCCTCCTGTGGCGGGGCAGCAGCCGGACCAAATGTAACTCTTCCGGCGGCCGGTGCCCCGCGGTGTCCCGCCAGTGTCCCGCCGGTGTCCCGAAATCTCCTTGTGGTTGGGCCGCGGTCGGACCAATGTAACTCCTCCGTCGGCTGGTGCCCCGCGTTGTCCCGCCAGTGTCCCGCGGGTGTCCCGAGGTGTCCCGTTGAGTGAGATCGATAGTGAGATCGATCGTGAGACCGATAGTGCGATCGATAGGGAGATCGATGTGGTGCCCCAAGGTGTCCCGTGGTGTCCCAAAACATGAGATCGACAGTGAGATCGATAATGAGATCGACACGTGTCCCGTGGTGTCCCGTCGTGTCCCGTGGTATCACGTTGAGTGAGATCGACAGTGAGGTCGATCGTGAGATCGATGTGGTGTCCCGAGGTGTCCCGTGGTGTACCGTTGAGTGAGATCGATCGTGAGATCGATCGTGAGATCGAGAGGTGTCCCGCGGTGTCCCGTGGTGTCCCGTGGTGTCCCGTGGTGTCCCGTTGAGTGAGATCGATCGTGAGATCGATGGTGAGATCGACAAGTGCTCCGTGGTGTCTCGTGGTGTCTTGTTGAGTGAGATCGATAGTGGTATCGAATGAGTCAGATGTTGGTTCCCCCCCTCTCCCCCCTCACAACCTTCTTATCACCCGAAGGGTGGTCGTATTGGTATGTATAGATGTGTTAGAAACACTGTTTATGGCCAGCGCTGGTTAGCATCCCAAGTTTCTCGCGCGACCCCCCGTTCCCAGCTTTCCCCTCGCCTGCCGCAGACTCGAGCATGGAGAAGCCCGCAGCGCCCAAACCTTTATGGCGGCATTTGCCACCCTTGAGGGCGTCGCGCCACGGATGGTCTTGTTTGTGTTTTGTGGGCTGGTGGGGTCGTTCGCATGTCGTTGTGCTTACTTGGAGTTCAATCGTAGTTTCATCTTCATATTGGCAATCATGGTTCTCAACTACGTCAGTCCATCATGTTTCACTGTCTCTCTCCAGTGTGTGACTTTGCTCATTGGAGGCGAATGGTAAGCTGCCCACTGGAACTTACGGAGCTTTCCGCGCGTTCTCGCCTCGACGCCGGCCACATGTTCTCTGAAAGCAAGGCTCTCGCTCGAGCGTTGGCTTGATTGTAAATGTGTCGTTGCAGGCCTGGCTACAGCGACAACGGCTCCCTCTCGATACTTCCTCACAATTAGCCCCGAGACACCCTGGCCAGAGAGGCCCTCGAAGTCATGAGCGGCGCTCTCGCTTGAGACTTCCTCGCAATTCAGTCCAATTTGCGGAGGCCCAGCCACGACGACAAACGCACCTGCTCAATACTTCCTCACGATTGACTACGAGAGCCCCTGGAAGGCCCCCGAACTCACGAACGGCGCTCTCGCTCGAGACTTTCTCGTATTTCGGGCATGTTGGTGGTGGAGGCCCAGACACGGCGACAAGGGTTCCCGCTCGATACTTCTCAAGATGCAGTCCGAGAGCCCTGGCCAGAGAGGCTCTCGAACTCAGGAACGGCGCTGTCGCTCGAGACTTCCTCGCGATTCATGCAGGACGCACGCTTCAGCAACCCGCCTGCTCGACCTGGCCGCCTGTTCCCGCCTTCCGACCCGCCCGCTAGGGCCTGCCCGCCTAATATGCCCGTCTGGTTCTGCCACGTGCTTCGGGCTCCCAGCCCCCCCCTCCTGCTACCTTTTCTCGTGCTTCATCCTCCTCCCTCCCCCTTGTTCCTTCCTTCCTTCCTTCCGTCCTCTCGTCCCCTCCCGGGCTGCACGACATACACGCTGCAGGTAAGAAGGATATACCCCCATGGGGTACGATCGAAGAAGAAGAGGGCGGGTATCGAGGGTTTGGGATAGACGTATTCGATTGCACGCGAGCAGATATGAGCGAACAGGCTTACAATGCTCGTCGTCGTTGCCGTCGTCGTATCGTCGTCGTTCCGTCGTCAGAGTCAGAGTCAGAGTCAGAGTCAGAGTCAGTGTCGTCGTCGTCCTCATCGTCTTCCTCGTCTCCGTCCGCGTCGTCGTCGTCCTGGTCGTCCTGGTCGTCGTCGTCGTCGTGTTATGTCGTCGTCGTCGTCTCGTCGTCGTCTCGTCCTCGTCGTCGTCGTCAGAGTCAGAGTCAATCTCAGAGACAGTGTCGTCGTTGTCGTCGTCGTTATCGTCGTCGTCGTCGTCTTCACCGTTGTCGTCGTCGTTGTATCGTCGTCGTCTCGTTGTCGTGTCGTCGTCTCGTCCTCGTCGCCGTCAGAGTCAGAGTCAGAGTCATAATCATAATCATAATCAGAGTCAGAGTCAGAGTCAGAGCCAGAGCCAGAGCAAGAGACAGCGTCGTCGGCGTCGTTGTCGTCCTTGGCAGGGGGACACGAAAGAGAGAGAGTCGTTCTCGTCGTCGTCGTCGTCGCTCCTCGCCCTCGTCCTCGCCCTCGTCCTCGTCCTCGTCCTCGTCGCGGGAGGACTCTTGAGGTTCTTAGATGCTTCTGTGTGCCCCGCGAGGCTGCAGCGGCCAAGAAGCAGAGATGTCTCTCCATCGTCGTCGTCCTCGTCGTCGTCCTGGTCGTTGTCGGGAGGCAGCTTTCGCAGTCGTTGTCGTCGTCGTCGGCGTCGGCGTCGTCTGCGGCGGCGTCGGCGTCGGCGTCGTCGTCGGCGGGTGGCATGGGAGAGAGAGAGATCTAGGCCGTCTGCAGGGAGGCCGTCGTTCTCCACAGTCGCCGGTCCCTTCTCTGTTTCGCGATCCCGCCGCCGCGCAGGACCTGCGGGATGCCGACCAGAAGTACCTGGACGACCTCAACGCCGAGTGCACCCAGAAGGCCGCACGAGGATCGAGGCTTGAGGATCCAAGTCCGAGAGTCCAGGCCGTCGGCTCGTGTCTGGCCCTGTTTTGGGCTCGCGGAGGCCTCCAGAGGACCCCTGGAGACCCCTGGGGATCCCAGGAGGCTTCCGCGGGGTCCTGAGCCTCACCGACGAGTGCACCCAGAGGGCCGCCATTCAGATCGACGATGATGACGTTGACGATGTCGACGATGAAGACGACGACGCAGATGAGGACGAGTTCACCAACGAGTGCACCCACGGGCCGCCATGGAGGTCGCGACAAGAACGTCGACGACGCTGACGACGAAGACGATGACGAGGACGACGACCACCTCACCGACGAGTGCATCTGGAGGGCCGCACTTCAGATCGCGACGACGACAGCGTTGATGACTTCGACGACGAAGGGCGACGACAACGACGACGAAGGTGAAGCAGGCCTCAGAGAAAAGTGCACCGCCCTGACTACTCCCCCCTTCTGGCGTCTTATGGACCTTGGAGGCCACTCTCTGCGGGCCGGGTTTGTGGTCGTCGGGCATATTTGTTCTTTTCCAACGCGACGCTTGATAACGACGGCGACCATCCTCGTCGCCTACGTCGCTTTCGTCGACGTCATCGTCGTCAACCCGTCGTTGTTGCCGTCGTTATCCTAGTTTCCCCTCGCCGTCGTTATTTTCTTCCTCGCTGCCGTCTTTCTCGTCGTCGTCCTTCGCTCGTCCTCGTCCTCGTCCCCGGGTCGATTTTCTCGTGGCTGCCGCGTTTGCCGCCGCCGTCCCTCGAAACCAGCCCGCCCCGATGTTTATCCCAGAGACCTGCGCCCCGCGATCCGGATAATTATGCCCGGGGTCGGCGGGCCTGGCCGAGGCGGCATGCGAGGGCGCCCACCTTGGGGGGAGTCCAACAGGTGGTGGGTGATGGGTCGGGGGGGGAGATAATGAACCGTGCACGTCAAAGGTGCAGCGGCAAAGCCGGTGAAACCAGAGCCACTGCCGGTGGCGCGGCTATGAAGCAGTGAGGCGCCATGCAAAACACGACACCATTTCATGGCACGGAATGGAGCGTATCTTCCTGCACCACCCATTCACCATCAAAATGCCAGCAAGGTGTGCGACCCGGGAGAGCAAAGGCAGCAGGGGGCAGAGGAGGGAACGACCTCCGTGGTCCAGGACGAGCCAGGAGCCAGGGAAGGGAGGAGAGCGAACGACAGGGAACGACGGCCGCGAGGAGGGGAGGAGGGCGACGACTGGGCGACAGCCTGGGACGAGCATGAGAGACAGCAGGCAGAGGAGCGACGCAGGACTGCGAAGGAGGGTGCTGGACGACGACACCACCCCGCAGGCAGGCGGGCGTATGAGCTGGGCTGACACTCGGGCTTTTACAAGTCACTTCCAAAACTCATGACACATATTGCAGAGCAAGACCCCTTTGCTGGGCAATTCACGGAAAAGGTGGGCAGAAGGAAGGGATTTGTCGTCGTCGTCGTCGTAGTCGTGGTGGTCCTCGTCCCTGTCGTCGTCGTTTTCTTCTTCTCGCTTCCAGCGGCCAAGGTCCTGGAGTGTTCTGTGGGCTGCCCCTGGCCTCCAGAAGGTTTACAGAGAGAAACACATCCATTCATTTATCAATCGTCGTCGTCGTCGTCGTCCTTCCTCCCCCTCGCCCACAGTGGCCAGAAGTCCTAAAGTTTTCCAGGGGCCGCCCCGTGGCCCCAGAAAGTCCTATGATATTATAATGGTAATTTGTCACTGATGCTGCAGAGCCTGACATGTTCGAAAGGTTTGGTTTGGAGATGTTCGAAATATGGTCGGTTGTATTTTCGGTTGACGGGTGTGCCGCAACACCCGTACACCGAACACGAAACCGAACATGTAACGTTTTTTTTTGAAACGTCGACAACCATGTTTTGTACACCTTATACGCAAGTCCTATGGTATTATACGGCGGTGCGTTGTATACATATGTATATATATATATATACCCATGGCGCATATGTTAAGACTGTTATTCGCGAGTGCGTGACGTATCCACCTTCTCGGTTAATGATTATGTTGTTTTTCGCTATTTCGATGTACAGTGTTTCTTCCGGAGATGTTCGAAATGTGTTCGGGGGATTGTCGTTCAGAGAAATAACTTTTGGTGATCTCTGATATTCCTGAACGGCTCGCCTCGTCCTGCCATCGGCTCGTCTCTCTTCCTCAGTTTTCTCATCCTGCGGTTCTCCTCCGCTTTCTCCGCCGGGATGCTTCCCTCTCCGCTACCCTCTCCGTGTGGCTGGCCTTCGGCGCATCCCGCCACCGTGCCTGGGTAGTGGGTCGGAATCTTCAGGGATAGTTCTTGGGATCTCTTCGGAGGGCCCTCGGGGGCCTCCAGAGGGGGCAGTTTTGCTGCCTTTGGGAAGCCTGTTGGGGCTTACTGGGGGGCTTTTTTATTAAGAACCTCTGGGGGCTTCTTGAAACCATCTTGGGCAATCCTGGGGGCGTCTTCGGGGCGTCGTAGGCAGTCTTTGGCTAGGAGCCGAGTGCAGAATTTCAAGTTCTGGATTCGATTCCTCGCCAGAACTTGAAGTTCTGGTCGCAATATGAGAAAGAGCCTGTTCTACCGCCTGTTGGCGGAAAACCAGGGGGGTCACTGGGGGGTCCCAACCCGAGCCCCCCCCCACTATCGGAAACCAGGGGGGGGTCACTACCGGTTCGAACCCTCCCCCCGCGTCTATCATGAAAAGGGGGGGTCACTACCGGTTCGAACCCCCCCCCCTTCGAAGACCAGGTGGGGTCATTACCGCCCCTCTCGAAAACCGGGGGGGGTCACTACCGGTTCGACCCCCCTCTCCCCCCCCCCCTCGCCGCCGGCAAACGATTCCCGCTTCTCGGGACAGTTGGACAATGGTGGGGATGCTGGGACAGTGGTGGGAACGGTGGTGGTGGGGACAATGGTGAGGGACAGTGGAACAGTGGTGCGGACAGTGGTGGGGGCGGTGGTGGTGGGGACAGTGATGAGGGGACAGCGGGACAGTGGTGGGGACAGTGGGACAGTGGTGGGGGCGGTAGTGGTGGGAACAGTGGTGAAGGCGGTGGTGAGGACAGTTGTGGGACAGTAGTACAGTGGGGAAAGTGGTGGGGACAGAGGGGACAGTGGGACAGTGATGGGGACAGTGGGGACGGCGGGACAGCACAGTGGGACAGCGGCGGGGACAGTGGGACAGTGGTGGGTACAGTGGGGAGAGTGGGACAGTGGTGGTGACCGTGGGGAAAGTGGGGAGAGTGGGACCGTGGAGGAACCATGGTGGGGAGAGTGGGGACAGTGAGACACCGGTGGGGGCACTGGTGGGGACAGCGGGGACAATGGTGGGAACAGTGGGGACAGTGGGACAGTGGTGGGGACGGTGGTGGTTTGGACAGTGGTGTGGGGACAGTGGGAATGTGGTGGAAAGATTGGGACAATGGAGGGTACAGTGGTGGTGGGGACAGTGGTGAGGGTGGTGGCGAGGACGGCGGTGGCACAATGGGACAGGGACAGTGGGGACACTGGTGGGGGCAGTGGGGACAGTGGTGGGATCAGTTGGACAGCTCAGTTGGACAGCGGCGGGGGCAGTGGGGACTGTGGGGGCATTGGTTGGGGCCGTGGAGAATGTGGGGAGAGTGGAACCGTGGTGGGAACAGTGGCGGGGACAGTGGGGATAGTGCGACAGTGGTGGGGGCACTTGTGGGGACAGTGGGGGGCGGTGGTGGGAACAACGGGGACAGTGGTGGTGAGGACAATGTGCTGGGGACAGCAGTGGGGGATGTGGTACGAACGGTGGTAGGGAGCTGGGAGTCGTTTGCTGGCGGTGAGCGTGTGGGGGGGGGAAGGGGTTCGAACCGGCAGTGACCCTCCCCCGGTTTTCGAGGGGGGGGGGTTCGAACCGGCAGTGACCCCCCACCGGTTTTCGAGGGGGGATAGGGGGTTCGAACCGGTAGTGACACCCCTTCGTTTTCGAGGGAATGGAGGGAGATGGGGGGGGTCGAATCGAACCAGTAGTGACCCCTCTGGGTCGGTTTTTTGGATGGGGGGGGTTCGAACCGGACCCCCCTTTGGTTTTCTTCGGGGGGGGGAGGGGTTCGAACCGGTAGTTGGGCCCTTCGGTTTTCCGGAGGAGGGGGGTGGGTCTCGAACCAGTAGTGACCCCCCCGGTTTTCCGTTTCCGGAGGGGGGGGTCCAGGAAGGGGGGGGATTTTCCGAGGGGGTGGGGGCGGGTTGGCGGGTTTCGGAGGAAGACAGGGGGGAATTTTCCACAATATAGCGGCGGTGGATCACGGTCTCTCCAATATGAGGTCGCGATTTCCAGAATTTGAAGTTCTGGCTTCACATTGGGGCCAAAATTTGAAGGTCTGGTGTCAAGTTGGGTCAGAACTTGCAATTCTTGTCTCACGTTGGGGCCAGAACTTGACATTCTGGTTTCGCGCTTGGGCCAAAACGTGAAGTTCTGGTCCCAACTTGGGCCAGAACTTGAAGTTCAGGCCTCGCGTTGGGGTCCGAGCTTGAAGTTCTTGCTTTCCGTTGGGCCAGAACTTGAAGTTCTGGTCTCAGGTTGTGGCCGCGTTGGGGCTAGAACTTGCCATTCTGGTCTCCCATTGGGCCAGACCTTGAAGTTCTGGTTTCACGTTGGGGCCAGGGCTTGAAGTTCTAGTCTCACGGCTGCCATCGAAGTTGCCTTCGCGAGGGGGTGCCTGATTCAGCTGCTAGGCACTCCAGTGCGTAGATGTATATGGTGTTGGCTGCAGTATACGTGGTGCAGTATATATGTGGTGGTCAGTGTTTGCGCATGCCGCAGCCGCAGCGGGGCCCCTGCAACTCGCGGACCGCGCCCCTCCCCCATCCCGCCCGCGCGACCGCCGTGGCGCGACCGCGGTGTCCGTGCGAATGCGGAGATCCCCAAGTTCGCGAAATCCACTTGCAGGACCAGACAGCCGGCGGCAGGCAGTGGTCGCTCTGCCCCTGCGCGTCACGCGGCCCCGCTCGC